AGGGGCAGTTTGGATTCGTAAGTTCATTAGTGAACTTGATGTTGTACCCTCCATCAAAGGAGCTATTGCTCAGGCACGGGAGCCAAGGGAACATCAGAAGGTCAAACATGTCAAGCAGCGATTTCACATGATAAGGGAATGGAAGTCTGAGGGTGAAATCAGAATTTGTAAGATTAGAACGGACGACAATGTAGCCGATCCATTGACTAAACCTTTGCCTCAAGTGAAGCACTTGAGATAATCAAGGTCATTTTAACGATGGACGATTAATGACCACTTGAGATTAGTGTGTAGTATGATTTATAGCACCGTTTCTTGTGCTACGAGGATATGGTTGTCATAAATCATTTGCATAGGTATTGGTTTAGAACTATACCGGATCGACCTATGAGAATACTGTAAGAGATATAAAATCGTCATAAGTATATTTCTCATTATAGCTATCGGAAAGGTATATCTTGTTTGAGTACTAGTCGTTTTGATGTTGTCAAACGTCTGCCGTAAATGGGGATTATAACGGCAACACTCGGGCGACTAGGCCCTCTTAGTAAGGGATGCTAACAATGCAAGACTAGGAATGTCCCCCTACTCCGACACACAAGTTCTTTGCGAGGAACACTTCCAATGTGTTTTACTTAGTAAGTTCTTCATGGTTCTTTTATTCCTTTGAGTGTCTTCCTTAAAAATTCATCTATATAGGGATATTTGTCTTGTTCTGCAGTCATAGTGTTCTAAAACAACTAAAAACCTTTACACTATGTTTGGATAGCTATGGTGGAGGGAAAGGGAGGGAAGGGGAAAGAAAGGAAGGGGACGGAGAAAGTGAGGTCACATTTTCCCTCTAAATCTTTTCAATATGGGAAGGATTTGGTTCATTGAAGAGGGAGGGAAAATCAATCCTTCCATTTCCCTCCCTTTCTCTCCCTCTATGTGATACCCAAACAAGGGACCATGAATCCCTCCCTTTCTTTTCCTTTCCTTTCCTTCCATTTTCCTTTATCCAAACATAGTGTTAGTAACATTACATAAGTTTGTCTTGTGCCAACATCATCAAAACATCAAGGTTAACAGAGGAGGTGGTTTAAGGGTTGGAAAGGAGGGAGTGATTTTGGGCTGGGGGTAAGGGAGGAGGTGGTTTCGGGTTTAGGGAAAGGGACGAGTGTCGGGGACCGGGGAAGGAGAGGGGCATGGTTTCGGTGGTGACTGGGGTGGGGTTCGGTTATGGTGTGGGGAATGGGGTGGCCATCGGTGGTGGAGAAAGGAAGATGGCTGAGTTTTTTTTTTTAATTATTTATTATTTACCAATCAAGTGTTGTCATATGTCCAAGAACCTATTATAACAGGTTGGTTGATCCAGTTGGGTCAAATAAAAGCGAAATACTACCTCTGTTTTACATTTTTTTGCTACTTTGGAGTCAACACGGACTGTTAGGCAAAAAATAGGAAATGGAGATTAAGAAAAGAGATGGACGTTATTAAGAAAGGAGAGAGAAAATGGGGGTAGATTATGTTGAAGCAATTGTACTGTAGCAACCACATAACAACCGCCACACAGGCCACCACCTTACACACCACCACTTCGAAGCACCACCCAATACAAGTCACCAACACCACCCTTACAAGCACCACCCAACCACCACGCACTCACCTCGTAGCCACCACACACCCAAAACCCAAAACTTAAAACCCACCTCGTAGCCACCACACACCTACACAGTACAAACTCGAAACCATCATATCTATCCACCCCATCGCAACCAGACCATCCAACCACTACACAACCACTCTGTAACACCCCACAACCACCACACAACCACTCCGTAACACCCCACACAAATTGAACCCAACCCACTTACCACACCCTCTAAACTAGTTACCCGCCGACTACCTCATCGAAAAACTCACCGACCTACCTCGCCATTCGTTCGTAAATGGAGGTTCAACCATTACCATATAACGCGAACATTCCGCCAATGTCGTCCACGTGTAGATCTCCACCACTAGTTGTTTGTTTTGGTGGGGAGAGAGAGAGAGAGAGAGTCAGATTAAATGATAAAGAAAGAAACTAAGGAATTTGAAGAAGAAGAAATTCAAGAATTGGGTTTGAATTCTAGAAAGATTTGATGAGGGTTGAATGTTGTTTTGTGAATTGAATTGGTAAATTGGGGAAAATGAATTAGATTTGGGGGAAATAATTTGATTAATTAAGTTTGGTTAGTATATTATTAAGTTTTGTTTTAAGTAAGTAATTGAGCTTATGAAAATTTTAGTAAGGGTGATTTAGTAATATCATTTTAAAAACTTTACTGAAAATGGAAAAAAATTCGAAAGTTGCAAAAAATGTGTAGCGGACGTTTTTGGCAAAAGTTGTAAAAAATGTGAAACGGAGGTAGTACCTGCAAAATTCCTCTTAAAAAAATACCTCCTTAAGTTCAGATTATTACAACAATTTTAAAAGTTATTTAGATAGCATTATGACTACCTATCTTGTGATAACAAACAAGATCATTTTTTTTTTCTTGAGTAAAAAATTGATACATTAATGTCCACCATTAGTAAATTCGAGCTCAATTTGAAACCATTAAGGACCAAAATTACCCAACAACCTTAATCGAACAGTTCTTAGCACAAAAAAATTAAAGACATGCAAACTAAGACATTTCTTGATACACAAAAAGAGGCATTCATGTTATTTATGTAAAGCGGTGATTGAACTCAATGTGGATCCCTTAAGGGTTATTAAGTTGATCCGCAAAACCTTATGCTTGAACTCAATTTGGATCCCTTAAGGGTTATTAATTTGATTTGCAAAACCTTAACAAAATAATTCTTAGCGCACAAATCGAATCAATTAATGTTTAAAAGGATAGTTTAGTCTTTTCCTTAATTAGTTAACTTTATGGATCTAAATTGTGCTCAAATTTAGCAAAAATTAATGTAGAGGTATACCAATGGGAAGAACATAAAGTAGGGGTATATCGGCGAGAAGGAAAAAAGTTAACAGTGTATCAATAAGAGAAGTTAATTCTAAAGGTGTACCAATGAGAATTTCCAAGCGTTTAACAACTTACTCCCTCTGTGTTTAAATAAATGAAACATTTTAAGTTTCACGGAGTTTTAGGAAGGTTAGTTGAATTTATTAAAATAATAGGTAGTGGGGCATAATTAGGGTTGTCAAACAGGTCGTGTTAGGGGTTCGTATTCGTGTCGATGTTAAACGGGTTGAAAAACCCTTGACCAAACCTAACCCATTTATTAAACTTGTTGAAAACCCTTGACCCGAACTTAACCCGTTTATTAAACGGGTTCTCCGGTTAACCTTTTACCCACATAGTACTTAATAAACTAATTAATATTCAATTTAAAAATTAAAAAGACATACATCATAAATTCATTAAAAACACTACAATAGTTTAAAGTCAGTTGTTTTAGCAAAAGGTACTACAAGAGTTTAAAGCTATTAGTTGTAGCAACACAACTATACATGAGAATTGTCCCAAATTAACCGCCAACTTTTAATTTACAAAGATTGAAAATTTTAATTTGTTCTCCAAATTAACCCCCAAAAAATTACCAAAATGTATAAGTGCCAAGACAATTTACAAAATTACAAGTTTTGAATAAAGAAATTCATCTTTTTTTTTCAACTACTTAATTAACGGTGCTTTTTCTGTGTGGCTGGCCACACCGTGTGGCCGGGTTTACTTAATCAGGGGTTACTTATATGGGTTACTTATTCATGGGTTAGTTGGGGGTTACTCTGTTGGTCAAGGGTTACTTATTCAAGGATTACTCAATCGGTTAACGCTTTTTCGCCAGGTTACTTATTCCGGGGTTACTTAGTTGGTCATGGGTTACTTATTCAAATTTGCTCAGTTGGTTAACGCGTTTTTTGTGTGAGAGTAACCCCTGACCGACCGAGTAACCCTTGAATAAGTAACCCCTAACCAAACGAGTAATCTCTAAGTAACCCCTACCCAAACGAGTAACCCCAGCCACATAAAAAATTTGTGCTTAATTATTAATAGGTTAAGCGTGTCAGGTTCAGGTTAACGGATTGTCGTCCAATTGATTAACATAATCGGGTCGATTTCAGGTTGCCCTTTTAATTTCTTGTCAACCCAATTATGTAAACGAGTCGAAAATTTGTGACACAAATCCGCTTATTTCGGGTTGAGTTCGTGTAGTGTCAGTTTTGACAGCCATTAGTATGAGGAGAGAGAAGAAAGTAAAGGATTTTTTAGGACCATTAGCTATTAGAATATTATTAAAAAAATATATATAGAGAAAATCTTATTACTCCATCTGTTCCTAAATATGATTCTCATTTGACTTATTTGGATAAAACTTTGAAAACTTTAACCATAAATCCCCATTTACTTATAAAAGATTATATGTTCACATGGGATCTTGTTGAATTCGTCAAATTTTGTATTTTATTAATATCAAGTTTTTATATTTTTTATGTGTATGAAAATAGAGATAAAGACATTTTAAGACACGTCTTGGAGACTATGAAGAGTCAAACGAAAACTATATTTAGGGACAAGGAAAGTAAAAAATAGAGAAAAGTGAATAAAAAAAAAGAAAATATTTTATTTATTTAAACATGACCAAAAAAGAAAAATATTTCATTTAATTAAATACGAAGGGAGTATAATTTAAAGGTTAAGTTTAACAACGGTGCATAGGTCGTACTATGAAGGTTAAAGAATAAAGATAAACAATTTTTTATGTGCAGATGGTAGCTAATTAGAGTTAAATTTTAAAATGTTTAAATTTACTTTTGTTTTCTTAAAAAGTATACCAAACAAGCCCTTAATGAATTTTTCAAATTAAAATGTCTTGGAGGGCTTTGAATTTATCAATCACATATCAACGATCAAGATTTTACTGCATTTGTGAAGGTAATCAACTGTAGCTTAAATGTAGTCGACTATTGCTGACCACAGGGATTTAAGGTAATGTTGTAATAGAGGTGGGAAGCTAAGCCACTGTAGTGTACCAAGAATATAATACTGCAAATTACTTTGCAAAATTTATACACATCTAACGTTAATTTCATTCATTAACATAACTACATTTAACATGTATTCTATTTTTCCGAAAACCTGTAGTGTAAATAATATACAAAAAATAATATACATGAATAATACTTGGGCTATAAGCCCTCCTCTGTTACTGTTAAATGACAGTTGTTTCTCTCACCATCCTTTTGTCAGGTGGACTTGGAAAATAAAGTTGTCACCCCCAACACATCTGGAAACATGAATTGCTTTATTTTTGTAAAGCCCTGTATATCCACATAAAAGTGTGTTAATAGCCAGACGTTATAAACAAGATAACGAGGAGAGGCGTGAAGATGTACGTAGTCTTATACCTAGTCAGTCAAGGTATAGTATGAATGATAAGAGATACGGGATACAACATACAGAAACCGCAAGTACAGAAACAATGGAAATAGCTGAAAAATGGACAACAGGCCATTTTGAGTGACAATGGAAAAAATTAATTTGCAAATGTTTAAAGTTAGAGCATAATTCAAAATTCAACTGATATGCTATTAATTTTTAGCACAAAAATACAACTGGGGTACACAGCAAGTCTCAAATTGGGTTAACTTGCTGTTTGTATCCTGGACTTGTACAATTCAACACTTCACCAGGTACACAGCAGCTAAAGAATAACATATACAAGCTCTTTCAATCCAATGAAAGCTGAAGGTACATGGTGAGGCACATGAAGCCACAGGGACCTTGGTGAATTACCAGACCTAAAAACAATAAAAAATAATAATAGGACTTTGGATTACCAAAACAGCAGGATCACCGAATGAATTTTCCTATCGCTCGAGGACACTAGGTAATACCCGAAAAAAAAACAAAAAAAACATGTATAATAATATTATCAATCAATGAATCCAGGAAATGTATCTTTGCAAGAGTCATGCAGACTAGGTTGAAATTTTAAGACTGTATAGACTAATGAATATACTAGATTGTGGACATAGGATGCTGCTTGATATGGACAGACTCATGTCAAACATTTCATATATGCATGTCTTGTTCACAAAACATCTGGAGAAATAAAAATAACAGATTTTGCACCCGAATTATTTTACCAAACTTACTGTGGCAAAATCCATGGGTCTGTTCTACAACTAAGTGGAATTATGTTGTTAAGCAGGCGGTAAGGACCGACGACATGTTGGACATTCCATTTTTATGTCCATCCACCTTTGTAAACATCCAGAATGGAAGAAATGATCACAAGGGGTCACCTGCAAAACGAAAATCCTTCTTTTGTTATGCACATTCATAAATATGTAAACACCTTGACTCAACTGAACATAAACTTTACCATGCAGTCATTAGAGTGCTCAGAGATATCAATGGCAGTCATGCAAATGACACAATCAGTGGTACGATTTGCATCTTGATTGAACCGTCTATAGTAACTGTACTTCTCCGGTAGGATCTGTCATAACATAGAAAGTGTTCTGGTCAAACTAGTAAGCATGAAGTACAAATAATTATAAAGACAAAAATAATAAATCCCAAATTAGAAACTAATCCCAAGATGTACAAAATCTAAATCATCAAATGTCCATTACCAATCTCCATCCTCACTATGATAATATTTTCAAAGACATGTTCACTCCATGGAGCTGCAGAAAGTAGGAGATGTAGAGCTATATGAAAATTATTTGTGGAAACATGTCACTCCATGTTCACTCCACTGTTTTACAAAAACAAACCACATTTCTATTTCAGGAATTCCCAAAATAGTAAGCTAATTTCTTAATTTAGGGACCTAAACAAATAGTCCAGTTTCTAAAGTTAGAAAAAAAAAAAAATTATATTTCCCAAGTTATCATTATATCCTTGTCTCAAAAATCTGAAGGGGGGTGGTGATGTAAAATTGAACTAGAAAATTGTTTTTGCAATGGTCCTAAAAATGACCTCCAATCAAATATTGCATTCTTTTGGGGTAGACAGCACAGAAACTTTCCCTTTAGAACATGGCAGGTCAATTTGCAATGTACTGGGGAATCAGTTCTAATTTACCGACGTCAAGAAGAAGATTGTAGATTGGCACTTTGCTGAAAGTAATAATCTTTCTATCGCTTGACCTATGGTGGCTTTGGAGGTGACTTATCGTGTTGCCTTATAGAGAGCTGCTAAAATTCCAAAATATGTTATAGGATCTCTGCAATTCAATTCAGAAACACAGGGAAAATTTGGTTCTACAGAAGTCACTAAATTAGTCAAACAGAACAAAATTTCATACATGTGTTTGTAGGGTTGTACCTCTAGAGAGTCTGGTGACAGCTACAAAGCAGAGTCTAGGACTAGCAGGTGACGGCGGATAAAGTATTCATATCAAAGTTTGGTTTTTTGTTTGGCTCTTTGCCTTGAGATAATTGCACTTGCAAGAGTTTTAGATCTGGTGTGACAGCTTGGTTTAAAATAGGTATAGTTAAGATGGATAGGGACAATGCAATTAGATTATGAATTATGGAAAACCATTGCTGAGAAAGGAAGAATGGACTATCTAGACAAAACAATCTTTCTGAGAAGCCAACAAAGCTGATGATCGGTTGGCTAGAAAAAAGAGTTGTGCAACAGAGCATTCACTATCCTCATCGGCAAACACTTTTGTGCTGAGGTTCTACTCCTGAACTAGCAAAGATTATTGAAGAAGGCTTTGCCCCTCATTCACAACAAATACAGCTAAAACAAGAGTCGGATCAAATACATAAAATGGTTCATAATCCACCACAACATATTCTGGGCCTAGTCTATAATTAGATTAATCAAGATAAAGAGAAACATATGCTAGCTCAATTCATCAAAAACAATAATTTTGTAACAAAAGAACAATATATATTAAAACTTTTTGAGCACATAGAAGTCAAATGACTCAATTAGGAAGTATAATATTTATATCTAATAATTTGACACAGAGATTGTAAACTTAGGAATTTCCAGGCCAAAGCTAAATCAGAATTCAGCAGAACCAATTACTATACGTATGAATCCAGCTTAAAAATGGAAATTATCATTGAATTGAATCAGAAATGCAGTCTAAGATATTGCCTGCTTCCTGTTAACAGGTGGTTTTTCTTTCATTATACTCCTTTGCTATTGGGAAAGGGAAGAGTTGAAATCGACAGGTATCCTTTGGGCTATCTTGAACTGCAGAAAGGAATGTCACCTAACATATATGTACAAAAGCACTCACAGAAATCACCACATAAAAAATAGATGTGTATCAAACCTGACGAGGTATAAAACATCGTGAACCAAGGTAGTGTTGAAGTAGAAGGAGCAGAGCCTGAAGCCCCATGAATGAGCACAAGCATATACACCAGTTCTTATCAGGCCCAATTCGCATAAAGTTGTTACGGCAGCCAAATACATACAATGGAATTGCTAATCGAGTAAGGGTCATGCCTATGATGTAATGTGGGTGAAGCGGTTTTCTTGAATCACGAATGACGTTGGTAACAATTTGAGGTATCCAAAAAGAATACATAAGCAGAAGGATAACTCGCAGAAAATTATGGAATTCGTACATAATCAGAATGCCTCCCAACAATATACCATCTGCAAACAATGTATGAAAGTTGAATTAGCCATCAAAAGCTGACCAACATTGACAACATATTGATACAATTCCCCTCCCCCTCTCCCTATCACCAAAAAAAAAAAAAAAAAAAAAAGAGAGAGAGAGAGAGAGTAGAGTAGTAACAACAATAAAATATTACTCCCTCAGTCCCTTTTTGTTTGCTCCATGGACCACTTGTTTGTGAGAGGTTTATGAGTCATATGGGGCAAAAAACAAGGGGCAGAAGGTATAACTATAAAAGGGACTTAGAAGAGTAACATTCTCGGGTGCAAGCCATTACGAATTTCACGCACAGCTATACCCCACAATAACTATTACAAAATAAATACTGGAAATAGAACAGAAAGTTAACACCATACTAGTTACAGGCATGCAAAAAAGGGTATAAAAAAACACATAAGCGCACACACACACAAAAAACCTATGTCTGGATCAAAAGAAACGCAGGATAAACAGATACTTCAGGACAATCTGAAGCCAAATTTAGGCATGCCTGACAGAAATAGAACAGAAAGTTAACACCGTACTAGCTACGGCAGAATTAAGGTAAAGATATAAGACCAACTAAAGGGAAACTGTAAAAGCCCTATATCAGACACTTGGAGAACATCATTTGCCAAAAGTGGAAGCAGATTAAGGGAAAGGATAGAAAGCAACAGCAGCTGCTGGAAAATGGAAAAAGCAAGAGAGCACACGGTATTCACACTTCAAAGATGAACAAGGTTAGGGTCAAAAGCAAAGCAATGCAAAGAATCAACCATCTTAAGCTTATTTCTCAAGAATATGTTTCTTTTAAATAAAATAACAATAAAATTAAAATTAAAATAAAATTAAAAAATTAAAAAATTAAAAAATTAAAAAAAAAAAAAAAGGAAAAACTCAACAATGTACAGTATGAAAAAAGACACTCACAAAATCGGCTGTACAGTAGTGATAATTCACGTCTCATGGCTTCCCAGCCTTCGCCACTGTTTGCCGGTCTACTTGCCTTCCATATTGCCAAGAGGTAACGCATCTCAAATATAGAGAACACAACAAACTTGAAGAAGGCAGCAGTTGCAAAAGCATTAAACAGGGATTCTGAGTGCATAAGAAAAACGGAGTTAAAATCTTAAACACAACGAAGAATATTAACACTCATGATGAATTTTAGGTTGATAGCCACAAAATTGCGAAAGCAAAAGAATAAAATACAAAATATCAGTCACAATCGCTTTACATATATTCAATCTTGTATGAAAAGCATACATTAAATTAAGCATATAAAGACTAACAGCAATCACATGATTCACGATTTATGCCTTCCATCATTGTATACTCTTGAAAAGAGGACAATGTCATAAAGAATGCAATCTAAAACCATGACGGGAAAAATGTTAGCTGCTTTGACAACATCCTGCTGACATGGGACACAGTTCAGTATAATACATTCAGATAATTAAATGAAGTATTTTCACTTTTCATGATTTCTAATGTAGTCAAATAATGATTTGAATTTCTAGCCAACACAAGCATGAACCACCTCCCACTCCTACACAAGAAAATAGTTGGGGCTGCCAAGAAAGTAAAGGAAAACAATGGGGAATCCAATGTATAAAAAATTAAAAAGGCTCAAGGCCCAATGAGGTGATGAAGGTCCTGATGTGCCTAGGCCGCGTCTATTTGAAGTGAGGTGCACCATATAACACATTTAAGGAAATTTGCATGTGTGACTAGGTGCACCTCCTTATATGTGCCTCGCCTAGAGCAAAAAAGGCGCTCTACCCTAATCGCCTAGCTCCTCAATGCTTAGGCACGCCTTTTTATACACTGGGAAATCAGAAGCAAATGACCAACAATCAGCATCTGTAACTAGTAGCCATAGAAGAAAAGTTGTGTCGATTTCACACTCACTTTTTCGCCTTATCAATTTTTTTTTGGGGGGGAGGGGGGGAGAAAAACAAAGTTTGCCCAAACCCCTCACAAATGTGCCCACACTCATTTCAAATGAACCAAAGAGTCAGATCCCAAATTAGGTTCGCCCAAACTAGTTAAAAATTCGTCCAAACCAGCCCTCGATACAAGCACACTTCTCTAAAGCCTTGGAATTTAGGGGTTTTGCCTAACCAAACAAACCATAATTATTTTTTAATTAGCCGAGTGTACAATGTTTTATTGTGAATCAATTGTAAAGTTACTCTAAAATGATCAAAAGTTACCCTAATATTCATAAAAGATACCTAACTTTTTATTGATTAAGTTTCCCTCTTTAAAGGAGAAAAAACAAATCCGAGTGCGTTAAGGTTAGTATCTTATCCTTGTTACGGGGTTTTTTGTGTCCTACGGGAGAGTTACGTCACCAAGTCTGAATTCTCTTTGCCTGTACCTGCAAAACAACGGAAACTCCGGTTGGCAGGAGTTCCGCCACCGACGATCAAGTTAAAACCTGTCGAAGTAATGTAAAAAGTGCAGAAGGTAAAAGTAGATCTTCTCGGAACCCGAGATCAGGTGTTTTCTCTTATGCGAATTGATTGAGTTATAATAAATGAACGTGTCCCCAAAATGGGGTAAATCTCCCTATTTATAGGGTCATTGGGAAATGTGACCTTATCTAGGTCACTCTGACGTAGATTTGGTGGGCTGCGCCGTTTTTTGGCTTTCTAGAGAATTGGGCCCTGAAGGCCGCCTTTTTCCCATATGATTAGGAAGGACACGTGTCCGTGATTGGTCCTGTTTGGACCTTTCCTGGCTGCCACGTGTCAACTTCTTATTGGGCCACGTGGCTTGGGGTTTTTACCCAAATCATTTGCCCCTCACAGGTGTCACGTGGCCCATATGATTAGGAAGGACACGTGTCAGTGATTGGTCCTGTTTGGACCTTTCCTGGCTGCTGCCACGTGTCAACTTCTTACTGGGACACGTGGCTTAGGGTTTTTACCTAAATCATTTGCCCCTCACAGGGGTCACATGGCATGCCACGTGAAACCTGTGACACGTGTCAAGCTTTTATTGGTGAACAGTTTTTAACTGTTCACCTTCTGGGGAAATTACAGGGGCCCCTGGTTTTACCCCTCTATAAAAGGCATTTTACCCCCTTGCCCCTCCCTCATCTTTGAACCATTTACAAAGTCTAGAGAGATTAAGAGCAAGATATTCTAGAGAAAGACTCTAATAACCGCCTAAGATTCTTTGATCCACCGTCCCGGGTGCACCCAACACTCCAAGTGATGAGATCTTGGAGGAATCAGAACAAGGGGATGAGTCCGAACAGGAAGACGGCAAAGAAGTAGGCTCTGCGTTTGGCAGTCTGAGAGAGATGGTGGAGAGTCCGCCTCTTCTGAGTAGCAGTAACTCGCTATCTCCGCTTGAGGATAGTGAGGAGGAAGAGCGTAAAAAATGGAGTGATGAGACAGACACGTTTCAGATCCATGTGTTTGCCATGGAGCAGGGTTTAGAGAACTTTAAAATGAAACGTCCCCTTGGGGGGAACTATGACATCCGGGTGCCGCCTGAAGTGGGCACCATAGCTTGAAAGGATGATAAACGCCAATGAGTACTTTGGCTGGTATGAGGCGGCGTTCTTAGCCGGCCTCTGTTTCCCCCTCCACGATGCAATAAAGGCCATCCTTTGAGGATATGGCCTAGGTTTGTGGCAGTCGACCCCAAACTCCTAACTCCTGGGTCAACATTTTGGGCTACATCGCCGCCTGTAAGATGCAAAACCTCCATCCCGGCTAGGAAGCTTTAGCAAAGATGCACTACGTGAGCCGTAACCCAGGAGGCTAGCAGGCGTGGTACACACTGACCACTTACCCCGAATACCTCATGACCTTAAACAAGCCGTCTAAGTGGACTGGTTGGAGGAACAAGTTATATCTCGTCCCCTCCCCCAAAAAGCGGGAAAATCATGAATAGCGTTGTTACAATAAGAAGCTAGATTTGCTGGCCATAAGTGTGCCATGCCCCGGATCCCGGATGAGGACTATGAGGCAATAATAAAACCGGATTTCTTTGGGCTAACCACCATGCCCATGTCAACCGGTGAACTAATAAGTGTACCCATAAAACTGGGTACCAAAACATGAGTGGCTGAGAGACGTATGTTTTATGTCCGCCTGTGGTCTTAGACAAACGTACGTAAAATAGACATCCGCCATTTTCATGCCGTCTCCATTGTTTCTACGCTTTTTCTTATAATTTTCTTATTTTGTTTGGTGAAGACGGTTTTTCTTCGCAAAAACCGCCTGCAGAATGCTTCCAAAAGACAAGATGCCTGCTCGTTTTGTAACTCTGAGAAGAAGAAGGCTCAGCTGGCCGCCTACCATAGTATTTGTTCATTTTTCCATTCTAACATAGTCGGCTTTAACCGACTATGCCTTTGACACTTGAATTTCTTTGTTCAAGATGGAGACAAGGGACCTCCCAGATCCTTCTCCAAGCGGAAGCCTGAAGACGAGGCAAAAGCTCAACCAAGTCAAGGAAGGTGTCGTCCACTCAATCGTTTCCTGATTCCCCGCTTGGAAAGGGTCGTCTAACCGTTGGTGGGAAGAGTATCAAAAATTATGGTCTTGGGATAAACCTTATAAACAAGCTAGGTGCCTCGGAGGTGCCAAAGGGTGGCGAGCCACCTAAAGATGCAACCGGTTTTGCAGCAGCTGTAGGCGATCTGAGCCTTCAGCCAATATCCCAAGGTACGGATGACCCTTCGACACTGCTTTTGACCTTCCTTGGCCCATACAGGTCAAGTCACACTCTCAACAGCAGTCAGAAGGTTTTTCAAGGCAGCCGGCAGTCTATTGGTGGCGCCTATGCGCCAGATAGATGGCCGGATGTGCAGCAGTTCTCCAAGACTCCAAGGAGGATAAGGAGGCCATTCTTGGGGTGCATACTAGGTAGCTTAACTTAACTATCAGATGTTCTTAATATAATGTCGGTTGTATTTCTAACATGCCGTTTGTGCAAAAGAAAGAGGTAAGGAAGGCCAACATACGAGCGATTGAGTCCGCTGACGTTGCCAGTATCAATGTACAATAAATGATCTTGAGACTAAGGCTAAGTTACTGACGCAGGCAGACTCCATCAGACGTCTGACGGCTGCGCTGGATGAGGCAAACAAGAAAGCCTTGAGGCGACACTCAAGAATGCTCAGTTGGACTTGGAGGGCGCTGACAAGGAGAACACCACTCTTTGGGCTTCCTACTCCAATTACCAGACGGCTCCGGAGAGGCTGAGTAAAGCCGCCTCGTTGAGGAGAATGAACAAGACTGCGAGGACCGGATGAAGATAGCATGGGACCTTGTGCATCCGGGAACCGAAGGGGGTGTCTTTGCCTTAAGATACCAACATGTAGATCTTGTTCTCATAGCAAGGGCGGAGGCGAAGCCGGATCCTGAGCCATTTGAGGAATGGACGAACAAAGAGGCCTTAGATGGTAAGGAATTGGTTTAGGGCGAGGGGGAGGGAGAGAAAGAGCACGAGACAAAGGAAGCACAAGTGAACTCTACTCTACCTCCGCCTGTCGGTGGCCCCACCTCAGCAAGATTAGCTTTTATTTCTTTCTTTCCAGCCTTGAGCCGTCTGCATTTCCGGCCTGCGTGCTGAGTATTTGTGTTTGCATTTATCAACACTTCAATTCTCCCGGACGTAGATCCGGTTTGACAATCTCTCCCGGCCTTTAGGTCGGGTTTTATTTATGAAGTAGCCGGCTGAGTCGGTTTGGTTTTAATTTTGCTTCAATTTTTAATTTCCCAAATCTTTGATTATTGCTATATATATACTTTAATTTTGCCTAACTGGTTAATAGCATGCGGCAACTATGAAACCGGCTGGCCTCTGGGCGGCTGTGTGGTCGGTTTCAAAAAGTTGATTGATTGACTTGGGAACTTTTGATATATTAAAGAGTATGTCAAGTTACTTTGTCAATTAATCACTACCGTGATTGCCCCAAACAAAGTACAGAGCCGTCCAAAATTCAGGCGGTATAAATTTAGATACCCAAGCATTCTCGAACTTGCCTAGTCCATTGAATAAGGAAATCCTTCTTCATCGCCTGGGTCATTTGTTAAGGTTAATTAAATGTACACAGGCGTCCATTTGCCCCA